TAAAAGATGCTCCCCTTACCAAGAAGAAACAGTTATGATGAGAGGTGGGGAACTGGGGTTGAGAATTTTATACAGATCTTGTTAAAACCATGTGTCTCCCTTTAGTTCTCTCATCCTAGAGATGTTCCATAATCATTTGTTTTTTCTGCTTGGTAGACAAGCACTCAGAGTTTACGTTTTTTGGGCATTTATCTGGAAGACCCTCCGACATACACACAAGGCTCTGTGTGCTCTCCTCCTGCTGTCTGCTTATGTTAATCTATGCCTCAGGCCCAGCAGGAGACCCTAAGAGAATCAAATCATTTCCTACAACTGTAGTGTGAGAGAAACAGCTAGGATTTCTTACAGTTAGGCTGGCTTGCAAGTCTTATAAAAAAAACAAATAGTATGTACGTCCAACATTAATTTTGCCCTGGAAGTAAAGCAAACCATTATTTGGGATAATGATACTGGCAGTTCAAAGGACTGCTGTACGGGGACTGTTGTGGATACACATGTCCCCTTCTGCTGGCTATGCATGGCAGCTCTGAACTGGCGTGAAACTCAAGTTCTTTTTACTAGTTACAAGGATTGGCCTTGAACTTCTTACATGTTCAGTTTTCTAAATAAAGACATCCTTCAAATTATAGCAAACCAAAGGTAGCCATTTATTGTAGACATTTTACACACAAGCTTCCAAGAAGACATCTAGGTGAACATTAATACGAAATGAATACAGACGTCCATTTACACTTGGAGTGCATTCAGGTGGAGGTGGAGGCTTCGGATCACACAAACTACTCAGCTGCTCCTTCCACTGGGGGTTTCCTAGTTTCCCAATCCATGAATCTTGTCTGTCACTGAGTGCCAGAACTCACAAAATACTTTATCCACTCTACCTACCCAGCTTTGACTCTCAGAGTGATGGGAAGAAGGGCTTTTCTGGTACTGAACACAAGTAGCTTGTCCTTTCTCCTTTCTGAGCAAGCTGGGCTGACACTGCTGTCATCTTTCTAAGGTATGAGATGGACTCAATGGGGCCCAGAGGTGGCATTCAGTCTACAACCAGGGTGTGAGTCTGGCCTTACTGTTCCTTCATGGCTTCATGAACATGAACACCCCTGCAATTTTGGCAATTAAGTTAACTACTCAGAAAGAAGTTAGGATTTACCAGATTATATCCAGGAAGTGGTTCTTCTGGCTTCTGGTCTAATACACATTCCTCAGTGGCAAGATGCCCTGACCTGTTTAATGTGTGAGGTTTCTTCTTTACAAAAACACGTTTCTTTCCAGATGAATGAATTAGGTTGAGTATGTAACATAATCATCAGTAAACATTAGTGAGGTATTTGTGGAAACCAATGAAAGCCTAGGCAGAAAATACAGTTTCTAAATGTCTTTGACAGAATGCCAGAAAATAAAGAATCTGTTTGTACATATACCATTGTTCAAAAACAGGATTGAGACAATCTCCAAAGAAATATGACAGAGTAAAATAAATAGATGTAGCTAGTTGGCTGAAGTGGGCTGTCCTGTTGAGCTTTCCAGCAGCCAGAACAAGGGAGAAGCAGCAAGTTATAAAAATCACAGTGTAAGATTTTTTTTTTTTAAAAAAAACAACAACCCTTTTTCCTCCTTGAAGTCCTTGGTATTGAGATCTATTGATCACTACAGAGATGTGGTAAAGATTTACTACTAAATGTGTTATTCTAACTTTCATGCATCAGCTGACAAGAGAAACATGTAAACAAGCACCTTGGTTTAAGATGGTAGGAAGATCTGTTTCTTAAGAACTGAGATAAGCCCCACTAGATTAATACACATCCCAACAGATGTTTTATGATTAGGGATATAGGTACAGAAACTCAAACCTCACCCCCACTGTTTCTTAGATACAGGGACAATTACTTTGTTGTGGTGGAGACAGAACAGACCCTGGATCTTTTCTGTTGCTGGGAAAGTGTGTCAAAAAGTGGTGTCCAAACTGGTTTTCTATTTGCAATTTACAGAAGGTCTTCAGGATGTGATTGCAACTTCTCTAGATGGGGTGACTGACCTTCTATACCACCGTGGAGTTAACTAGATTATCTTCTTCTGTAACACTTACTTGGAGGAGTATAGCCATGACATTCCATCACTTTTGTATTCCTCTCTGTGGTTAAAACATGGTCTTATTGCCTCAATCCCACTTGGGAGGGAGAAGAAAGCAATCACAGGAGGGGGAAGGGAGGGAGAGACCTGGGTAGGAAAGGGAATAGAGAGGAAGAGGGGAACATGGTCAGGTATTGGGTGGGAGAACAGGACTGAAGCTCTGAGAGCCAGCAGAAAGAATGGAAACAGGCAACCTCAGGAGGTAGAAGGTGGGGGGACCCTCCAGAATGTACCAGAGACTTGGGAGGTGAGAAATTCTCAGGACTCAAAGGAAGGAACCTTAGATGAAATGTCCTATATTGGGAGAGGGAACTTGTAGAGCTCACCTCCAGCAGAAAAACAGGGCATCAAGTGAGGGGATGGGGTTGCCACCTTACAGTCAAAAACTCTGACCCATAATTGTTCTTGTCTAAAAGAATTGCAGGGACAAAAACAGGCCTATCATGGCTGCACTCTGAAAGACCCAACAAGGAGCTGGAAGAGTCAGATGCAGATATTTACACCTAACCAATGGACAGAAGCTGCTGACCCCTGTGGCTGAATTAGGGAAAGGCTGGAAGAAGCTGAGGAGAAAGACAACTCTGTGGAGGACCAACATTATCAATTAACCTAGACCCCCGAAATCTCTCAGACACTGAGCCACCAACCAGGCAGCATACAGTAGCTGATATGAGGCCTCCAACACACATACAGCAAAGGACTGCTAGGTCTGGGTTCAGTCAGAGAAGATGCATCTAACCCTCAAGAGACTGAAGGCCCCAGGGAGTGGGGAGGTCTGGTGGGGTGGGAGGTGGAGTGGTGGGGACATCCTCATGGAGACCGGGGTGGGGGGGGGCCTGGGGTGGGGGAACAGTCAGGGGGGGGACGGGGAGAGGAATAGAATCTGGAGTGTAAAAAAAATAAATTAAAAAAAAACCCATGGTCTTATACCTAAGAGTGCATAAGTGTTGGTGAACAAGTCATCTACTTTCTGAACCATGCTTCCATGGAGTATCAATCCTGTGGACATGTTACTAAATGGCAATTTAGACTAATGTGCATATTTTCTAGAGCTGCAATTCCAGAATATCTACATGATTATAAGCACAAGTCCACTGGCACCACACAATCTTACTGGTCTAGGCACAATACCAACATGAAGCTGCATGTACCATTAGGGGTCTCTATTTCAGACAACACACAGGAAATTAGCTACTGTTATAGTTGTCAGCAATTATAACATTTCCAACAAACACACATCACAAACAGTTTTCAGCATTTACCTGAGTCACTTGCCTTCCAACAGGCTATATCCTATGTTGGCACCATAAAGCACTTTTCTTTCTACAATGTCTACTACCCTCTTTGATACTTTGCTGAATAGATCTCAAAAGATTCAAATATACTCACATAAAAATATCATCTCTAGATATTTTCAAATGAGAGCATCTGACAGGAGAACCTAGAAACACCTGACTATGGTTCTCCTTCCACTATTCTTGGGACTTCTCCCTCCCCAAAGCAAAGATACATGGGGTTACCTATGGATTAAAGGTGTGAACACTGCAGGCTTCAACTTCAAGTAACTGGTTTGGGAAGATCAAATTTCATCTGTAATTTTATATGAGTTAATTATTTCCCTACCAGAAACATTGTGACAGTATATACCTGGTTAATGCCAAGGAATTATTAAAGTTTTTTTTTAGTGGAAGTTTTTAAGTAATTTCACTTTCACTGAGTGAACTATAGAGCGGTATAATTATTTAGGACTTTATAGTCAGGTTTATGATCCCACAAACAGAACTAGAAACTTCAAAACCAGAGACTAGTAGTGTAACAGTCAACCCTGGAAGTGTAGTCTGGACTGAGGTAGCTCTGTGTTCTAAAACAGGCCTAAAGAGTCAATGAAATACTTTAGGTCTTATCTTCTTCCTTATAGCCTTAAGCTTTTAGAAACACTATGATGTTACATTGAAATGTAGAGCTAGGCAATTTGAAATATGCCGGTGTACTGGTAGGTCTTGCTCTAGGTTAAGAGTCAGAGAAGTGATGGGGTAGAAGTAGAGTTGGAATCTGATTGTCTCTTAATGAGACAGCACTAATGTGCGTCCTCTCCCATCTGAGTGGGTAAGGAAGCCCAGAAGAGTCAGACAAGAGCACCCAGAACAATTAAGAGGTAAGTGTAGACTTGTGATAAACAGTACAAGGATCATGTGTCACTGGAGAAGCAGCAGCCACTGGAGTTAAGTCTTCAGGAACAAAAAGGGAGATGAAGGGTGAGCAAGTGCTTCTCTTGGTGGAGGACAAGGTATTAGCAACATGCTTTCTGTAACAACACAGGAAATTAGACCCTAGCTATTTGGATCAACTTCTTGATACAGACATCTGAAGGAAGCTATAAAACCTTCACTCTCCCTTTGTAACCCCAAAACCAAGATGGAGCTGATACAGTTCTTATCAAACTCCTTAAAGTTCTACCCAGGTATGAAAATTCATTGTCAAGTTGCTGCCAAGATCTCATATGGGTGATAGATAATACCATAAAAACTTTTCACCATTCATATATTTGAAAATATATGGATTCACCCATGCGCAAGTTTTGAAAGTTGCTGGGCAATAGCATTAGCCTCAACATTCTAGTGAGAATTTTATTCTGAATTTAAAAAACCATCTCATTTATTGAAACTGCCAAGACTCATAGGAGAGAGGCAGATTGAGCATGTTAGACTATGAGGTGAGAACAGATGAGAAGTTTATTTCTATTCTCAGGCCTGTCTTGGGAACTGTAATTTACAGCTAAGAAAAGATTGCTTCCAAGAGCAGGACTAGGATCAGATGGCTAACAGGGCAAGTAGATGGCTAATGGGGCAACTGGAAAGGCAAGCTCCCTGTCAAAAGGTCTTCCTGAGCTCGGCACTCTTGCCCTTCAGTAGGTTCTCTGGGGAGTACACAGAGGGGGAGTATGGCAGCAGCTTTTCTCTCACGTGGACTTCCTGGTGTTTGGTGAGGAAAGAGCTCTTATTGAAATGTTTGCCACACTGAGCACATGTGTAGGGTTTCTCTGCAGTGTGGACGCGCCGGTGTTCTCGGAAGCTTGTGCAGTTACTGAAGTTCTTTTCACAGTCTCCATATGTGTAGGAATTCTCTCCACTGTGGACTCTGCGGTGGGCACTGAAGTGAGAATTGTTGGTGAAGCTTTTCCCACACTCTTCACACTGATAGGGCTTCTCTCCAGTGTGGGATCTCTGATGGATGATAAGACTTGAGGTCTGACTGAAGCATTTCCCACATTCCCTGCATCTGTACGGCTTCTCTCCAGTATGGATTCTCTGGTGGGCTCCAAAATTTGAGGAGTCATTAAAGCTTTTCCCACAGTCAAGACATTTGAAAGGCTTTTCCCCATTGTGAATTCTTTGGTGTCTGATTAGGCTCCTGCTCCTACCAAAGCACTTCCCACAGACACTACACTTGTAAGGATTCTCCTTCTGGTGGGTCATCCTGTACACTAGACGGGCACTCCTTCCAAAGTTTTCTCCATATTTGAGAAGTCTGTATGGTCTCCTACCCACCAAAGGCCTCTGATGCACCACAGCCTTTCCTGTATCTTTAGGTTGAGACATCAGTTTTCCCTGTCTAACTCCTTGAAGGTTTTCCCAGTGTCTTCCTGAGAAGTACTCTCTTTTACAGTATTTACTGGGGTTGGTATTCTGGGAAACAAATCTTTTAGGTTTTTCTATTAATACCCTATGGGGCTCTGTGTCCTTAAATATTACCTGTGTTGGATCTTCCTTAATAATACTTCCAATTTCAAAATCTGGAAAAGGAAAAGAGAATAGAATTTCACAAAATTCCAGTATCAACAAAAGCAATTAACCAGGCCTACAATGCTTACGATTGTCTAATGTTCACGGCCACACACTGTGACTTGACTGATCCACCATGCTTTACCCTCTTTCAGTTCTATAAAAAGGCCAATGACATTTGCCACAGTATGGGTCCTCAAAATTGTTTTGAACTGAATTGTATATCAAGATACTAGTCTCCGTTTTATCCTGATTAACTTAGCAATAACTAGGTTTATTTCCTTGAAGTAGCTCATTTCATTTTTCTTCTTTCACATCTATACTAAATATTGTACTATACCTCATTTGAATAAACTCTAATAGACAACTCTAAATTCCTCATGGTACTTCTCAACTGTTCAATAGCTAGTTAGGTTCTAGTTTACAGTACTATTTTTCTCATATAATCTTGTAGCTTGTTTTTTTTGGTCCCCTCACGGAACACAATAATACAAACACTCTGTTTTACTGTTTTCAAAGCTGGGATTTTTTACTCTTTCATTACACCCCATTTACTGTAAGGTACATCTTGGATTCAGCTTCTCTGTGGAGTTTTATGGGAAGCATGACATATGCCCTATGGAGACAGAAACTTTGGAACGACATAGTTTGGTTCTGGCATCATCCTGGTTACTTGTTAATTCTGTTTTTGTTATCAATTTTTAATTATGGGAAATTCACACACAGAGAATAAGCAGTGTAATACGTATAAAGAACTTCCACGAATTACTTACTTAAACAATGATCTATTTATGACTAATTCAGTGTCAACTCTATTCACACACACTCCCTACTTTGATGCAAATTCTAAAAGACACATTATTGCCATCCACAAACATTTCAAAAGCTGAGTATCTTAGGCTCAATGTAGCTTTGATCCCAAACCCCTGTTCTTAAAGCAACCATCTTGTTCCTACTTGTAAGTATCAACATGACTTCTCTTCCACATGTTCCAGTGAAACTGCTTGTGAGTGGGCTAGCTACAACATGAATTGGGAAGAGAAGGCTGACAACAGTCAGTTCATTAACTTATACAAAAATCTGCTGTGGTTAGCTCTCCTTTTGAGGTCTTCTCATTATTATTATTATTGTTTAATCTTCCTTTACAATACAGCTGCTACCCACCTCCCAGTACACCCACTGCTGACTATGCCCCCATATCATACCTCCCCCCATCTCCCCACACTCCTCACCCCCAGCCCACCAGAACTCATCACACCCTGGGGCCTCAAGTCTCTCCACAGTTAGGTGCATCTTCTCTCACTGAGGCCAGATCTCTGCCTAGTCCTCTGCTGTATATGTGTCGAGGGCCTTGTATCAGCTGGTGTATGCTGCCTGGTTGATGGCTCAGTGTCCTAGAGATCTTGAGGGTCCAGGCTAGTGGAGACTACTTGTCTCTTATGGGGTTGCCCTCTTCCTCAGCTTCATCTAGCTTTTCCCTAATTCAACCACAGAGGTCCTTGGCTTCTGTCCATTGATTGGATGTAAATATCCGCACCTGATTCTTTCAGGCACTTGTTGGGCCACTTGGAGGGCAGCCATGGCAAAGAAGTCAAGGTATCACTGTTTGTAGATGATATGATAGTATACATAAGCAACCCCAAAAATTCTACCAGAGAACTTCTACAGCTGATAAACAACTTCAGCAAAGTGGCTGGATATAAAATTAACTCAAATAAATCAGTAGCCTTTCATTATACAAGCGATAAACAGGCTGAGAAAGAAATTAGGGAAACAACATCCTCCACAATAGTCACAAATATTATAAAATATCTTGGGGTAACTCTAACCAAACAAGTGAAAGATCTGTATGACAAGAACTTTAAGTCTCTCAAGAAAGAAATCAAAGAAGACCTCAGAAAATGGAAAGATCGCCCATGCTCAGGATTGGTAGAATTAACAGAGTAAAAATGGCCATCCTACCAAAAACAACCTACAGATTCAATGCAATCCCTATCAAAATTCCAACTCAACTTTTCAAAGACATGGAAAGAGCAATTCTCAAATTCATCTGGAAAAACAAATAACTCAGAACAGAGAATACAATTCTTAACAATAAAAGAACTTCTAGGGGGAATCACTATCCCAGACCTCAAGCTATACTACAGAGCAATAATGATAAAAACTGCATGGTATTGGTACTGAGACAGACAGGTTGATCAATGGAATAGAATTGAAGACCCAGAAATAAAACCACGTACCATGGACACTTGATCTTTGACAAAAAGCCAAAAATATACAGTGGAAAAAAAAGAAAGCATCTTCAATAAATGGTGCTGATCTAATTGGCAGTCTGTAGAAAAATGAAAATAGATCCATATTTGTCACTTTGCACAAAGCTCAAGTCCAAGTGGATCAAGGACCTCAACATAAAACCAGATACGTTGAATCTAATAGAAGAAAAAGTGAGAAAGAGCCTCAAACTCATTGGCATGGGGGAGGGGATTTCCTAAACGGAACTCCAGTGGCTCAAGCTCTAAGATAAAAAAATTGATAAATGGGACCTCATGAAACTGAAAACCTTTTGTATAGTCAAGGACAAAGTCAATAGGACAAATCGGCAATCTACAGATTGGGAAAAAAACTTCACTAACCCCACATACAATAAAGGGCTAATATCCAAAATATATAAAGAACTCAAGAAGCTAACCTCCAAAAAAACCCAAACAACTCAATCAAAAAATGGGGTAAAGAACTAAACAGAGAAATCACAGCAGAGGAATCTTGAATGGTTGAGAAGCACATAAAGTAATGTTCAAAGTCCTTGGTGATCAGGGAAATGCAAATCAAAACAACCCTGAGATTCTACCTTATACCAGTCAGAATGGCTAAGATCAAAAATTCAGGTGATAGTACATGTTGGTGAGGATGTGGAGAAAGAAATTTTCTTATTGGATCCAACATTGTTCTGGGATTTAGAGGAAGTCACAGCCTATTAAGTTGATTCCAATAGTAACTGACAATTTGATTACATTGTGGAGGTCACCTAAAAATATTCACAGGGACTCTTAATAAAAAGGAAGCTGGGACCAGACAGATGGCTCAATAGTTAAAGAATGGGTTACTTTTCCAGAGGACTTGGGTTTATGGCTTTCAACTACCTGTAACTCTAGTTCTAGGAAACTAAAACCCTCTTCTAGCCTCTGTGGGCACCAGACATGTACATGTTACATAGACATACATGAAGGTAAAATGCCCACAGATGTATAGAGCCAAATTTGTTCAAGGTGCAGAGTTTGGCAGAGATCATGAGCCATGGCTGAGATATGAGAGAGCTTAAGGGGCATGTAGAACACAGCAAGGAGTTTTGTTTCAAAGTAAACCTAGAGAAAGAAAATAGTAGCAAACTCGCCTTGAAGGATAGGATGAGCACAGAGTAAGTATGGCTTAACAAAACACGGGTGAGAAGCTGGGCAGGATGGAACATGCCTGCAATCCCAGAACTCAAGTGGTATAGGCAGGAGGATCAGGAGTTTCAGGCTGGCCTGAGCTACAGTTGGGGCCCCTTTCTCTCTTTCTTTCTCTTAAAAAAAAAAAAAGTATGGATGAGAAAATTTGGTTTTGAGACTTTTACAGTCTAGGCAAGGAACAGAGAAGGACAGAGGAACCAGAACAGGGGCTATGGCAGGGGCTATAGGGAAGTTGGCAGGCAGAGGCGACAGTCTACTCAGCAAGTCCTGTCTCCTACCTGAGTGTAAATGCTGAGTGTGGAGGCATTAAAGTGCTCTTTACAGGATACCTGTGGGTTTTCGGTATGTCTATGCTTAAGTTAGTAGTTTAGCTGTCAACAAGCACACCCAGTGGGCCGTGGCAAGCAAGCTGCTGAAGCTCAGGTGCAGAATAAAGTCTCTCATCTTGTCCCTGCCATTCTTTTTCTCTCACACATCACACACACAGCAGCGAGATGTTTCTGATTGGAGCTTACTGATGGTCCTCTTCCTTCAAGTATTTTTTTATGTAGAATCTCACACTCTTTTCTATAGTTGTTCTAGAAACAAAACACTGTCTGACCCACCAAGACAGAAACCAAGGCTAAAGTCCCAAAGTCTGAACCAACAGAATGTGAGCAGCTGAGGCCCTCCTTGAAAGTGAAGTAGCATGAGAACAGGACCCATTTTACTTGGTTCTAATTCCCTTTTCCTAACAGCAACCAGCACTCAAATATCTTCTGAGTGAATAAATGTACATAAGCTCTGTGCCAGGTGTACTGATTTTCAGGAAGTCACACCTTCTCCTCACTTTGACCAAAAGCTCCATGACCTTACCAGTTGGGCTTTGCGGTAGGCCTGAAGGTCCTTCAAATTCTGGCTCTTCTATAATTTCCCCCTCACTCATTCTCTCGCTGCCAGAATCTTCTAACACTGCCTCCTGTAAGGTCTCCTCAGGTTCCCAGGTTGTAGGCTCTTGGGGTTCAGCCTCAATATGTCCCCTTTCTTGCCTTGAGAGTAGTGGCATTTCTTCTGAGGTGTTGGTGGAGAGGGCAGATGTACGGGAGTTAACTAGGGCATCCATCTCCTTGTAAAATGCACAGGACTCCAGTACATGGCCATTCTTCACTTTTCGGTAACTCTTCTGAAGGCTTTTGAACTTGGTTCGACATTGTTCTGGTGTCCGGAGAAAGCCACATTCTCGAAGTTGTTCAGCCACGACTCCATACAATTTACTCTTTCGATGACAGGCTTGAAGTGCTTCATAAAATCGGGTCTCTTGAAGGATATCAAGAAAAGTCTTGGTTTCTTCATAGCCCCAATGCACTCCTGCCATTCAAGGATAAAGTTTAAAAATATAAGAAAAGCAGCCAGGAACTTCTCTATTCCATACATTCTACAGTGTAATAGAATACAAGTCCTACTCAGGGAAGAGCACTGTGGAACACTGTCTTCTGGACATGACAGGCTACTACACTCACAAACTCACAGCAGGGATGGCTATTTGTAGAAGACCTACACACTCAGTCAAAATTCGAGCATAGGTGTGTGTGTGTGTGTGTGTGTTCTCCATGCCCTACCAAGCACTTGACAGCTTTTGGAAGAGAGAGAATTGTTCTTTTTTGAGGAAATTCCTACTGGTAGGTTACCTATGCTTCAGAGGATGGTCCTATGTCTATGTCTTTGTATTTGTATATGTATATATATGCAGCACTAATTGTATTTAGTGGGTTAAACAAACAAACAAACAAACAAACAGATAGATAAAAAACACATGAAGTTGGGATGGGGACTTGTGAGGGGGAGTTGGAGGGAATTGGTGGGTGTATATGATCATATTTCACTATATACATCTACAAATGTCTCAAGGATAAAGAAAATTATGAGTAAAGTTTCTATTCATGATAGCAACAGGAAATAAGGAATATCCAGAAACAAGCTTTGTAAAAACAGAAAAGTCTATGTTAAAAATCTATAATTCTTTATTTAAACACATTAAAATAACTAGAAAAAACAAGATGCTGTGTTTCTGAACACAAAGATTTAATCTGCACAGATATCAATTTTTAAATAATTAGTCAAAATTCCAAAAGGGTTTCTTGGAAGAGTCCGTGTAGTCTCCCATACTGCCTCTGCTATGGAGACTAACTAAAGGACTTAGCTACCTACAAGTGTCTTTTCCAAGTAGTTCAGTAAAATGGATTACAACCCCAAAAGAACAGACTGAAAGTTTTTATTACTTCTTTTTACTCATTTTCCTTGAGACTGAGACTGTGTCCAAGTAGCTGTGGGTTTGATAATCTTTTAATTGAGAGAAAGAATATGATCTGCATGGCACAGACAGCAGAATAAAACTTTTCTCAGTAGTTTGTTAAATATGTTTTTTGTGTGTTTTGGAAAAAGTACTAGCTAGCCTCAATATTTACTGGATGTGACCAGCCCCATTACTGGATTCCTACACTTGAGATCATCCCCAAGAGCTTGAGCCTTGTGTTTTCATACTGGTGAATACCTGTATATGTAAGATAATCCTCCCATTTGTCAGCAGATCTGATTTTCAGTACATAGCCTCATGAACACTTGTAGCTTTCCTAGCCTAATTTATTTTTCTATTCTATTGATTTATTTTCATTATTACAATAGACTAGAAAGGACAATAGTAATAACAGTGACACATTTTAGTCTTTTTAGAGTATCTTCACCTGTATCCTACTGAATGCCAGTAATAATCCTGTGATGTTTTTTATTTTTGTTGTTTTTTATTTTTGTTTTTTGTTTTTTTTTGAGACAGGGTTTCTCTGTGTAGCCCTAGATGTCCTGGAGCTCAGTCTGTAGACCAAGCTGGCTTTGAACTCACATAGCTTCACCAGCCTCTGCCTCCCGAGTGTCAGAATTAAAGGCATGTGCCACCACTGCCCAGCTGACTCTGTGAGTTCTTAATCATATATTTCATATGAGAAAATTAAGTCCAATGTAGTTACATGATGCATCTATGGTCACACAGTTATTATCTGGCTGTTTAATTCTGTGTGTCTTGGTTCCCAAATATTCAACAGATTTGCATAGAGTATCTTTTCAAATTTTTTTGATAAGATCTTACTGTGTAGCTCAAGCTTGTCTCAATCTCACAGTCCTTCTGGCAGGTCCTGAGGGCTGGGTTTACAGGTTTGCAGCACCAGGCCTAATCTCCTGGTATTTTAATGTCTGTCTTTTAACTAGAGTACTTCTCCAATAATGAGGAATATGCAGTCTTTTTAAAAATATGTTAATCTTGGTTCAGTAAATTTGTAATTAGTGATATGTTTAGATTTATTTCTACCATCTTACTCTTGTGTGGTAGTTTGAATGAGAATGGTCCCCACAGGCTCATACACTGAATTCCCATACCTGGTTCCCAACTAGTGGAATTAAGACAGAAGTTAGTACTAGGAATAGGTACTGATATGATAGGCCTGACCATGATGGTTTTTTGGAGGAATGTGAAACTCTTTGGATAGGGGAGTTGTAGAATGCTCTCAGTAGGGTTTTATGGGCCACTGAGTAGGAACATGGAGAACAGTAGTGTTGAGAGCTATGCATACTGTGGAGGCTTAGCTCAAGAAGTTACCCAGAGGGACAATTACTAGCTATTACCATTGAGTAGAAAGCATTCTGGTGATATTTTGGTAAGGAATGTGTCTGCTTTTTTATTTCATCCTAAGAATCTGCCTGAGGCTAATTGTGAGTTTTGGACTGTTTGCTGGCAGAGGAGATTTCAGGACAGACTAATGCTGAATGTATCATGTGGTTATCAGTGATTACTCTTATGTGGGACTATGATGAAAAAGGACAAGCAGGCACAAAGAAATATAAGTTGTACTATTTGAGGAGAAAAAGAGCACCAGAAAATTGAATGCTGGAGCCAAGTCTTGTGTTCAAAGAGATGAGAACTTTAAAGACAGGTCTGATGTGAAAAGAAATATAGAGTGGTGTCCTCAGGACAACATCCCATTCAGTTAAGTTTCTGACTTACAAAGAGGAAACACCAAGGAGTCTTCAGCCCTAAAACAAATGAAAGCAACAAATCAGAGCTTATGTAAATGTAAAGCAAGGAGAGGGCCAGACTCCACTCACTCCAAGCTTGCACTTGGCAACTTCAGCCATAGGATTCTATAGAGGATAAAGGAGTAAAGGGTTGTGGAATCTTCCTCGCCAGGTAAGCAAAGCCACTGGGGACAGGCATGTGGCAGGGCAGTTCTTGTACAGAGGTCTAAAAAGGCCAGTGTGAAGTTGATGTGAAGCCCAGATTGTGGTGGAGACTCTACAATTTTGGAGGTACCCAAGCCTTGGGATGTTTGCCAGGGAGAGCTGCATTAAGGAGTGAAATCAGCTTGAGAGAAGTGTGTAAGAGTTAGCAGTGCTGGAACAGAAAAGCCATCAAAGGCTTCTGAAATCAGGCACACAACTACGGGATTTGTAGTTTGCCCTGCTGGGTTTTGGTCTTGCTTTGGTCCAGTATTTCCTCATGATGCCTCATTCCTCCTTTTAAGATGTGTTATTCTATGTTGGAAGTATGTAATTTGCTTTTTTAAATTTTACAGGTAGTTACAATTAAGAGACTGCCTTGTCTCTCAGAAAAGACTTTCAACTTTTAACTCTCTTGAGACTGAAGGATTATGGGGACTTTTGAAGTCGGACTAAATGAATTTTATTATTTTACAAAAAGTCTGTGGGGGCCAGGGAGTAGGATGTATTGGTTTGAATGAGAAATGGCCTCCAAAGGCTCCTATATTTGAATGCTTGGTCCTTGGTTGGTGGATCTGTTTGGGAAGGGTTAGGAGGTGTGGCTTTGTTGGAGAAGGCATGTCACTGGGGAAGTCTTTGAGGTTTCAGAAGCCCACAGTTTTCCTATTTAGCTAGTGTTCACCCTCTCTCTCCCTCCCTCCATCCCTCCCTCCCTGTCTTCTACTTGCTGATTAGAACGTAAGCTCTCAGCTACTGCTCCAGCATCATGCCTGTCCGCCCAATGCTGTGCTGGCCATGGATTCTAACACTTTGGAACTGTGAGCCCCAATAAACTCTTTCTGTAAGTTGTCTTGATCATGGTGTCTCTTTAGAGTAACAGAAAAGTAACTAAGACATCTTGTTTCTGTATTTATGTATTTAGAGAGGGGGTTCTGCTATTAGTCCAGGCTACCTTCAAACTCTTGATGTTTCTGCTTCCCAACTTTTGGCTTTACAGTTGTAAGTCACCTGGCCTGGCTCTTACTATTGCTTTCAAGTGATTCGTCTGTTCTATGTTCTGTTTATTCTCCTTTCTTGTATTTTAAATTAGGCAGAAAAAAGTTTGTTTCATTTTTTCTACTCCTTTATATTGTTTGTTATTAGCTATACTGTATGGACTAATAATGTATCCTTCATTTATTATAATACAATTGATTATAGTAATCATCAAATGATATAGACACTTAGAACTCTTTACCTCCATTTACTTCCCTTCTATGGGAAGGATTATGATGAATATGATTTATTGTATATGTGTATATGAAAGCCTGCAGCTATCTATGTGTAGTATGTGTGTCTGATAACCAGAGGCCAGAAGGTGTTGGAGTCACTGGAACTGGAGTGACAGATGGTTATGAACTGCCTTGTAGATGCTAGGAACTGAACCTGGGTCCTCTGTATGAGCAGCCAGGGCTTTTTTTTAAAATTTATTTAAAAATTTTTTTTTTCAGCCAGGGCTTTTAACCACTGAGTCATCTCTCTACCCTGACTCCCAAATGTTTAAAAACCATGCTTCACTCTAACCTGAGAAAGAGCCTGTGGGCTTCTGAGAGCTGCATTCAGGCTACACTGGTGATCGCAGCAAACACCCAAGTGCCTATTCAGTTTGGGGGCATCACCATGGAAGGAGTCTTGAGTGTGAGAGCCCTCTCCAGGATGAGTCTAATGTAATGCTTTTTCCCCAAGAGTACACTTCTATCTTCATACCAAGCCCAGGGGTGAGGGGAGGACAATACAATTCTTACCACTTAGGTTTTGAAACAAGACAGGGGCAGCACGGATTTCAGACTTGCGTATAAACTCAATGCCCACTTCATCAGCATCAGAGTCTTCAGCATCTTCCTCCTCTTCTACCAAACCGACCTGTTCTTTAGCACTAAGAGCAGTTCTCCTTAGTGGGAGAGAGGTCACAGCCTTTGGTCTCTCAGTAGATGAAGTGTGGGGTGTAGGGTTTAACAAGGCATCCATGTCCTCAAAGAAGGCACAGGGTTCTAGCATGTGGCCATTTCTCACTTTTCGGTAACTCTTCTGAAGACTTTTGAACTTGGTCCGGCACTGCTCTGGTGTTCGGAGGAAGCCACATTCCCGCAACCATTCAGCCACAGCACCATATACCTGGCTATTTCGGGGACAAGCCTGGAGTGTTTCATAAAAGCGAGATTCCTTGAGAATTGCAAGGAAAGTCTTGGTTTCCTCATAGCTCCAGTGCACACCTGCAATCTTTTCATCTTCTAAACCCCACTGCTGCTGCTCTCGCCACACTTTCCCTGCATTCCTTGCTGGGATCTGAACAGCGCGCACTGACTTCTCTTTGATGTAGTTGCTTTGCAGGACACTATTCCTCTTATTTGAGGAATGTAGACCTACAGTCCATGGTTCCTTGTTTTGTTCCAACTGGGCTATTTTGTTAGGTGCAGACACAGTGTCTCCTACAGTAAGAGAAATATATTTCACAGTAGGTACAGAAGTCATTACACACCCCAAACACACTCTCCTGATTTATTTGTTTACACCAAAGCCTTCCTCAGCCAGGACCATGCACATATTTAAACGACTTCTTTGGCACAGAAATTTAGAAATGACATCATCTTGTTTCTTATATATACTGCTTCCATCTAGCTAGTTCTTTCAGAAATGCCGTCAAGGGTAGGAAATGTTTCATTACTTTTGACTCTTTCTTTTGGATGATACTGTATCATACTGTAGTACAGGCTAGTCTGGAACTCACTATGATGGCTTCAAACTTCTAACAACCCATCTGCCTCAGTTTCCAAGTACTAAGATGCAAGTCCTGAGCCACCACAACTAACTCAGTATTTGTTTCCTTTACATATATATATGGATTTAGGGCATATACACACACACACACATATATACATATATGTATGTATATATATATATAATATGCCCTAAATCCTGTCCTGTCTTAATGTACATATATGTACACACACACACACACACACACACACACACACACACTGGGGCTATTAAAAAGTAAAGCATTTTTATTAAACTATATTAATCACACAGAATGGTAGTGCCATAAGCTAGAGAAAATAAAATAGAATAGATATAATATTCTGAAATAAATCCATTCATATATGGTCAACTAGTCTCTTACAAGGGAAGAAGAAAGCTATGTTTAATGAATGGTCTAGGAAAAGAGAATCACTACATGCAAAAGAGTGAAACTGGACTATGACCTTATACCACGCACAGAAATTAACTTGAAATATATTAAATACCTACATATGGGGCTGGGGAGCATGCTCAGTTGGTAAAGTGCTTGCTATATAAGCACAAAGACTTGAGTTTGATCCCCAACATCCATGAAAGGCAAGCATGGTGACAAGTGCTTGTAATTGCAGCAAAAGGATCTCCAGGTTCAGTGAGAGAGCATGTCTCAGAAAATGTGGTGGAAGAGAACTGAGGAAGATATCAGACACCGACTGCTGGCCTCCATATGTACCACCCCATATATGTATATATGTGAGACCTAAATGTGAATCCTGAAAGCATAAAATCCCTAGAAGAAAGCACAGGCGAAGGGGAATTGACACTAGTCTTGGAAATGTTTTCTTTTTTCCTTTGACATAACAACCAAAGTAGAGGCAATAAAAGCTTAAGCACAAAAAGGAAAATAATCAACAAAGCAAAGTACAGCTTACAGTCCACGCAGAAATACTTACAACCATATATACTATAAAAGGCTAAAATTGAAAATGTACAAGGGACCATACAATTATTATAAAAAATCTGGTAAAAATGGGCCAAGTATCTGATGTGCAAATGGCCAACAGGCTCATGAACAGGTACTCAATTCCATTAATTAACAGGGAAAAGCAAATCAAAACCACGCGTTAGCTCACATGTTACAGTGGTTAGCATCAGAGAGATAAGGAGCTGGTGAGGAGGTATAGAGTGTGAACCCATGCACTGCTGATGGGAGCTCATCTAGCCATTGTGCAAACAGTAGGGAGGTGACTTGAAAACATTAAAAACCACAACTCCCATGCGTCCCAGGTCTCCCACTTCTAGATATATTTGTAAAGAAAACTAAATCACTGTGGAGGCACCAGATCTCTGACATTTATTGGAACATCATTTATAGTATCTAAGGTGTAGAAACCCCCCCAAATATTTATCATGGATGCATAAAGAATATTTGAAAGTGGTTCAGTGGTAAACAGTATTGTCTGCTCTTCCAGAGGACCTGGGTTTGATTCCTAGAACCTATACGGTGGCTCACAACTGCCTACAGTTACAGTTCTAGGGATCTGATGCCCTCTTCTGGCCGCCCTGAGCATCAGGCACACGTGGTGCACACACATACATTTAGGCAAAATACCATGTATATAAAATTAAAAAAATAAAGGATAGGTGAAAATATGGAAAAATTTATCTATAAAATGGAACATAAAAATTATACAAAGAAGGAAATCCTAATGCTTTAGATATTTAGAACATGGAGGGCATTATATCAAGTGAAATACACCAAACGGTGAAAGACAAACATCATACCATCTCAGCTTTATGTGAAATCTTTAAAAAAAACCCTCAGTGTACAGACAAACAGAACATTGGTTTCCAGAGTGTCTGAGGTGGACAATATGGACAGATATAAAGAAATGTATTTCAGCATTAAGCAGGATACATTCTGGGAATCTAATGATGCCTGTATCTTAGAATAGGGTACTTCAGACCTACCTTGGCTGAGAGTAGATTTTAAGTATCCTTCCTGTTGATGATGTGAGTGATGGATGTATTAATTGTGGTCATTACTATGAAATGTATATAAAATAATAAAACCTCACATTTTAATTACATAAAATTTTATTTATCAAATATACAATAAGTCTGGAAAAATCTGGCAGAAGAAACAAATGTTCAAACAAAAACTTTGATGAAGACAAATCAAATAAACAATGTGAAACTGTTTTGCTTAAAGAGGTTAAGAATATGTATACAATGTATGTATAGTTAGTGCCTTCAGAGGCCAGAAGAGGATGTTGGGATCTCCTGGAATTGGAATTACATGTGGTTGTGTGTTAAAGTTAAAATTTAAAACAATGGCACCCAATCTGGCTTGTTATGGGGCCTGCCATTTTCCTGACTAGGCAAGGCCTGAGACCATGAGAAGCGGCAGGAGCACACCGCTGTTTGGCTCAGGCCGTCAACTCAGGCGGGCCAGAAGTACCAGCCTTGCTACCCACAAGATGGCTCTGCCAATCTACCACGCTGTCTCCACAAGGCCATCCTGCCATCCACATGGTACCCAGTAGAAATGAGACTAATGCTTAAAGGTTATCCAAAGGCTTTATATGTTTGGTAATGCTCAATAAAGAAGATGCCCACACAATTAGAGGTGTGTCCCAATATCTAACCTTATGATATTCATTGTTACCTAGGACTGTTCTCAATACAATCATGGTCCTCTATGGCTCCTACATCTCTGCCTCTTCCTAGCTCCTCCTCTTCCCTCTCCTTCCTTTCTTCACTCCTCCGAACTCCTCCCACATTACTGAGTTTATTGTAAACTATCCAGCTACAATTGTGAGCTACCATGTGGGTGCTCAAGAAACAAACTCAAATCTTCTGGAAGAGAAGCCAGTGTTATTACCAATGAGCCAGTCTCCAATCCCAAACTAATTTTTTTAAATTGTTTTTTTGAGACAGGTGTGTGTGTGCGTGTGTGTGCGTGTGTGTGCGTGTGTGTGTTGCCCTGGCTGCTCTGGAACTCCCTCTACCAATCAGGCTGGGCTTGAACTATGAGATCTGCCTCTGCCTTCCAAGTGCAGGGATTAAAGGTGACTAGTCCACCACTGACTATCCCAAACTGAAAATTTAAATGTATGTATGGCTAGCAATTACTTACCAGACATACAGAATTACAGTATTTGTAATACTTGTTTTATATCCATTGGTTATAAATTGGTATCAGTGCATACATACATTATAACTTGTGTGTGTGTGTGTGTGTGTGTGTGTGTGTGAGAGAGAGAGAGAGAGAGAGAGAGAGAGAGAGAAGGGATAACCACAGGTGTTCTTCAGCTACAGTCCAACTTTGTGTATGGGTGTACAGTTGAACTTGTGTACCTGTGTGTATAGGGGTTCAGTTGTGTGCCTATGTGTGTAGGGGTTCAGTTGTGTGCCTGTGTTTGTAGGGTTCAGTTGTATGCCTATGTGTGTAGGGGTTCAGTTGTGTGCCTGTGTGTGTAGAATTGCACTTGTGTGCCTTTGTGTTGTGATTCACTTGTATGCCTGTGTGTGTAGGGGTTCACTTGTGTGCCTGTGTGTGTAGGGGTTCAGTTGTGTGCCTATGTGTAGAGGTTCAGTTGTGTGCCTATGTGTGTAGAGTTCAGTTGTGTGCCTGTGTGTGTAGGGGTTCACTTGTGTGCCTGTGTGTGTAGGGTTCACTAGTGTGCCTGTGTGTGTAGGGTTCACTAGTGTGCCTATGTATATTGAGGCCAGAGACCAACCTCAGGTGGCATTCCTCAGGCACTGTTTCCTTTATCTTTTTTGAGATAGAGTCTCACTGTGCAGTCCAGTTGGCCTGGAACTTAGCCAGAGATCTGGCTGCTTCTGCTTCCTGAGTGCAGGCTTTAGCAACTAGACCACTGCACTTGGCCTTTTATTTTGTATTTTTACAGAAGTTCTCTCACCAACTTGTAACTCAACCAGTAGGTTAGGCTGGCTTGCCAGTGAGCCATAGGGATCCACTTGTTTCTGTTCTGCTCCCAGGACCAGGATTATAAGAACATACCACTATGTTTTCTTGCTCTGTCTTGTCTCTGAAACGGGTTCTGAGGATTGAATTCAGGTTCTCATGTAAGCACTTGACCAACTGAGCAACCCTTCAGCATATCCACAGTTTTTTGTATGTTGGGGATCAAGTATCTCATTGTTGGGTAGGCTGGTCAGAGAGCTTCTGGGATCTGCCTGTCTCTGCCTCCCTATTCTGGGTTTACAAGCACATGCTACTACCCCTGGCTTTTAAAAATGTGGGCTTTAAATGGCAAGCTCATGTCTTCATGCTTGCTTTATTGACTGAGATGCTTCCCCAGCCCTGGCCTATAATATTACACATTAGTCTGACTTCTGAATAAAAGCTCCCACATGAATGGATAACACTTATCACTCCTGTTAAAGTCAATGGAGAGTCCTCTGATAACCTGCTTATAGAGTGACACTCCAGTGGTCATGTGTGCCTGTGTACCTGTCTACTTAAATAACTCACAATATGCCACCAAGGTTACTGAATTTAAATTACTTTTTATTTATTAAGATTTCTACCCATCCAACAAACATTTAACAGCTACTCCTCCATCTGTTAGGCAGCTCTATGTTAGTAACATAGTGTTAAGGTCATTATTATTAAATAAAAACAAGCTGTAGAAAGACCTGGTGACTTCACAGACCTTCAGCTGATGGATGTGAGTTTTCATTTCCTATAATATAAATATAGCACACATATCTAACTCCTGTTCAGTGCTCTAATTACTATTATAATGTTCTTACTGAAAAGAGCACACGAATAAGGAAAGAGAACAGATATGTAATTACACTGGATGATCCATGGAGATCTGTTAAGCCAATGGCTCTCAACCTTCCTAATGCTGCAACTGTCTAATACAGTTTCTCATGCTGTGGTGACCCCAAACCAAAGTTATTTTTGTTGCTACTCCATAACTGTGCTTGTGAATTATAATGTGAATATTTTTGGAGATTAACAGATTTGCCAAAGGGGTTTCAGCCCACAGGTTGAGAACTGCTGCATTAAGCAATAACATTTACAACTATTAATTACCACTAGGAATTAATATATATGAAATCTGCTGGTCTACCATTTTAAAGGAAATAACGCTTACCCAAGGAAACCACGCTCCCTGCACTTTCCTTCCTGATTTCATGGTAGAGATCTCTGTGCGCAGGAACTTGCTGTACACTCTTTTTGGAGGAAAAGCTTCTCATTGTGTGGACATCTCTCACTGGTTCCTGTAACAACACTAACACCAGTGACTACCAAGGCAACTGCAAGGGTCTCTGAAGGATGATCAGCCATGGATGAAGCAGAGAAGAGCCCTAAAGAAGAACTGAGTTAAGGCAACATGTGTGCATCATGTATCAAGTCAAGAGGAAGATACGGTAAAGAATTAGGATGAGATAGCATACGAGCTGACCCAGCAAGGGGTTCCACTACGGAGAGGGCTGAGTCCAACCTTTTCTGGAAAACAAATGAAGGGAAAAGTCTTTTGGAAGAAGTGCTATAAACAATGTAGGCTAGCACAGGAAATACCTGACTGAATTCCCTAGAAGGAAGGCCAGGGAGGACAATTACAATTCATTTGAGTAAATTACCTGGGTTGTCACTTCCTCATCTACAGCGTTCCACTCATCACTAGGGACAGGAACCCAGACAGAAGAGCGAGCTAGAAAAAGAGAAGAAATAATTATTGTGTATACTATTCTGAAGTGTGTGTGTGTGCACACTTGAGGGAGAGAGGGAGGGAGAGAGAGGGAGGGAGAGTGGGAGGGAGGGAGAGAGGGAGAGGGAGAGAGAGAGAGAGAGAGAGAGAGAGAGAGAAAGAGAGAGAGAGAGAGAGAGAGAAAGGGCGAGCACAAGCGTGAGCAGGGGTGGGGAGGGGGAATCTGTGTAGCCCTAGCTGTCCTGGACTCACTCTGTAGACCAAGCTGACCTGAAACTCAGGGAGCCACCTGTCTCTACCTCCTGAGTGCTGGGATTAAAGGTGTGTGGCACCACACTCCACAGCTGTTTCGCTTTTTAAGTAAAGAAAAGATATTAAAATCTACACATAGAAATGATTTTCAGTCAGTTCAGAGCAAAAATACCTTATTCTAATGCTGGGCTGGCAACTTAGATGGTTCAGGAACAAGCAGGTAAAGTGCATAAGGAAAGGGTTGGGACCTGGGTACTGAAGAGCACAGCCTATGATGATGCTTCAGTGTGAGCTTGTAGCACTTGAAGACATTGTTTCTGACGTTTCCAAGAGAAGCCAGATGTACTGGCTAGTTTTTATGTAACTTGACATAAGCTAGTCATCTGGGAAGAAGGGGCCTCTATTGAGAAAATGAGCCCTCACACCCCCACCAGACTATGAGCCTGTACAAAAGCCTGTGGGATATTTTCTTGATTGATGAGTAACCTGAGAAGGCCCAGCCAGTTGTTGACAGTGTTACCTCTGGGTAGGTGGGCATAGATGGTATAAAAGTAGGCTGAGCAAGTCATGAAGGACTATTTGGTAAGCAGAATCTCTCCATGGCCCTGTATCAGCTCCTGTCTCAGGGTTCCTGTCCTGACTTCCTTTGATGTGGAAGTGGAAGTAAAAATAAACTCTTTCCTTCTTGAGTTACTTTTTGGTCATGGCATTCATCACAGCAATAGAAACCCTAAGGCAGACACTGGAAACCTGGGACTTCTGTAAAATCTCAAATTGTAAACCTTAAGTACAAAGAGCAAAGCCAAAACCAAAACCAAAACCTCCAAATACCAAACAAAAATTCTTTGTAGGTAAAATATAACAAGTCCCATTTGGTATACAGGTTATCAGCTTGTCATCCCTCCCAGAAGTTGACTGTTTCAGAAACAAGAACTTACTTAGGTCCTGCCAACACCGAAAACAGTACAGCCATGGGCACAGCAAACATTTCAAAACATCTCCTACCCCTTAAGGGTAGGAGAATAGTGAACTTTTTATACAGCAGTCTTGATGGTCTATCTCCTCCTCAGAGTTCACCAGGGAAACTGACAAGTGTAACTTACTTGTGAGCAGATCTCAGAAGCTCGAGCTACCTGCTTTCTATAGAGGTAAAAACAAACACCACCAAAACCCACCTCATTTTAAAAAATTACATTTTGTCTACGTATTCTGAGTGTGTGTGCGTGTACATGCACACACATGCACACCATGACTTGCATATGGATGCTAGAGACCAGGTTTCAGGAGTTGGTTCTCTCCCCACCATGTGGTTCCTCGGGATGAAACTCATGTCATTAGGGTTGGCAGGAAGCATTTTGACCTGCTGAGCCATCTTATCAGCTCCCAAATGATTTTCTTGGAAACAGCATAGTCTCTGAAAAGCATACGGCTGAAATCACACTCCTCCAGAGCTAATCACCTTTCTGAGAAATCTACCCCTCAGATTTCTGCTCTCCATTCCTTAGTCTTCAACAAGTGAAAAAACTTTTTATCATCATGGATGCCAATGATGATAAAACATTATAAATATCCATCTGTTGTCACACAGAGTTTATCAGCTAAAGTCATTAGAGCTATCTAACCCATAAGATAAAGGGAGCTAGGATGCTAAGGAATGCACTGGCTAATTCAGAATCCACTAATATTTGCAATACATTCTTTTATTTAGGGTTGGATTCAGCAATGACAGGCAGTATTGTGAGTATTTCCTATTTTTGAGTGAGAGTTGAAGTTTAAGAATAATTTTGACGGGCTGGAGAGATGGCTCAGTGATTAAGAGCACTGACTCCTCTTTCAGAGGTCCTGAGTTCAATTCCCAGCAACCACATGGTGGCTTACAGCCATCAGCAATGGGATCTGATGCCCTCTTCTAGTGTCTGAAGAGAGCAATGGTGTACTCATATACATAAAATAAATAAATAAATCTTAAAAAATAAAGGAATAGGATGCCTTTAAAAAAAGAATAATTCTGACATCAGAGAAAATAAATATCAGTGGGAGAGCTGGGTTATGAACTCAGGTCTGCTTGTCTCTTCCAGCCCAAGATCTTAACCTCTAGGCATTAATACTTGTTTTCATAGGGCAGACAAAATGTGAATGAAGCCTTAGGTAGGATCATTCCACAGCTCACTTCTGGCCTGGGATGAAGCCACACTTCAAGGGATGCAAAGGTAACTGGACTGGGAAGGATGGGACACCTGTTTCCCTCAGATTTGACTTTCTGGATTCATATGGAGGGCAGCTGAATTCATATGCTGGTTATCTTAGTATTTTATTGCTGTGAAGAGACACCATCACCAGGAAAAGTTTTATGAAAGAAAACATTTAATTGGGGCTGGCTTACAGTTTCAGAGGATTAGTCCATTACCATCATGGAAGCAAGAATGGCATCGTGCAGGCAGGCATGGTGCCGGAGGAGATGAGAGCTCTACATCTTCATCCACAGCAGCAGCAGAAGACTGGGCATAGCTTACGCATTGGAAACCTCAGAGCCTGCCCTGACAGTGACACACTTCCTGCAACAAGGCCACACCTCCTAATAGTGCCACTCCCTATGAGCCAAGCATTCAAACACACGAGTCTATGGGGATCATACTTATTCAGAACAGCACACTGGTGTCCCTTGTTTGGAAAGTCTTACCATTTATCCCTCTCATACTTTATTCTGGGATGCCTTATCTTATGAGTCAAGTTTTAGAATAAAAATGCCTTGTTTCCATTTCTTTACAGTTTTTCAAGAGGATGTTCAAGAGCACATATACATATGGCATGACTAAAGAGACAAACTGAATGGTGAATGGACATTTTAAAGTAACAAAAAAAGATTCAAGAAAGATTCAAGGCTTCCCTGGATAATCTAAGTTTCCCTAATTTCCACCTTTATGATTCCATCTTATTTTGGTAGCAAATATTTCTGACTCCTAAAACAGATGAAAAATTTATTTCAAATATTCAATTTACTTGTCAAATGGACATTGAAGGGACCTCTACTGAGCAAGTCATAGTGTTAGGGATCCAGTGTAAAGTACATGGTCTCTGACATGGTGTACTTTAAGTCCTTACCATTCATAGGTAATGGCCTATGCTCCCTTTTTTGGTTCAGCTGTTCCTGGTGTCCTGAGTGGAGGCTTCCAGCTTCCTCCCGAGAAACGACCCTGTGCTGGATCTCCAGTTGCTCTGGCTCACAGTCAGCTACTTCCCACGCAGTTCTAGGTGGGCCTTGCTTCTCTGAATGTAGAGGGCTACTGACCTGCAAAGCAAAGTCAGCATCAACATAGAAAGGTGGAGGAAAGAACTATAGACCTGGTTGAAATCCCCCAACAGGGACATCAAAGGGCAGAAGAACTGAGGGGGAATGGAATCTTCACAGACTGAAGTGGGCTCACAGTTGTTTGGGAATATGGGAAAAAGAGAGTGCTCTTTATTTGTGTATTTTTGAAGGGTCGTTTCTACAAAGTGCTCTTATCCATCAGGTGCACAGAGAACTAATCAGAACACCAGTGAAATGAAGACTTACAAAATCAACTTTTGAGCACACCCTGTGCAAGGTGAAACTGTAAACCTGTCAAACATTGCATACTTTATGCGGTTATCAAAAGAGCGTTGAAAATAACTACAGACCAGCAAGCAAGGACATCTGGCAGTTACACTGGATGAGTGCCAAGGACCACCAAGAGTATTTCATAAGGCTGTTGCTGGAATGGTAAAGGATTAGGGAGGACTCTGGAGTATCCCATGACTCTCCCTCTCTCACCAAAGACAAACCCTGTGAGGCATTAACTATTAAATACTGTCTCTACAGTTTTGGTAGAAACATTATACTGAAAATTAGAACACACAAACCACACTTTTAGTTTAATCTGCAAGATAATAGTTCAACCAAGATTCTCTCCTCCATTTAATATGAAATTCAAATCTGCTTTTAGGGGGGATTCACTTTATGGATCTTTTAAAAGTCCCGTTTATTTCTATAACGAGGTCTTCTTCCAGAAATGTAGTTCTGCCCACCTGCCTTTCCCACCGCATCACTTTAAAATCCTTGCTCACCTGCTTTCGAAGTCTTCTGGTCTCTTTCTCCAAAAGTACTACTAGGGCCACCGCCTCCTCTCCGCTTTCTGGACACTGTTTCTGTGCCCAGGCCTGAATCTTCTCTGGCAGAATGGTGAGAAACTGTTCGATTACCAGCTGCTCGAGGATCTGTTCCTTGGAACGCATTTCTGGCTTCAACCACCGGCAGCAGAGTTCCCAGAGTTTACTGAAAGCTTCATGGGGTCCTGTCACATCCTTGTAACAGAACTGCCTGAAGCATTTACGAAAAGATTCACATTCAGTGCTGCCTGATCTTTCCAGAATGGGCTCCGATGCCCACTCGGAGTCCTTGTCCACTTTCATTATGAGGCACTCCTCAACTTCCACGTCGATCTGAGGGTTCATGACTGTAGCCATGATCCAACGGGGCCAACAGGTTTAGCTCCAAGTCAGGGCCCAGAGAAGCTTCCAAGTGCCCTCCACTTAATGTCCTTGAAAATATGGGACTGTAGGGAGATAAAAGACAACACCTCAGGTGGAACAAGGAACTCCAGGCTGATTAATCAAATTTGTACAAGACTCTTGAAAAGGTGAATGTGCACCCACCCCAAAAGTCTGCAAACCCGGCCTCTTATCCAATCAAGATGCGCACCCTCCCATGAGGTTCTTTAGGGTACAAGGTCAGAAAGAGAACCAAGCGCTGGGCTGGAAAGGAACCCAGGGAACTGATGACCTGAGGCGCGGACCCGAAGGGGGTGTGTCCCCGAGGCCCGGGGAGGCGCGGCCAGCCCAGGGGTCCTGGTCCCGGTCCAGGCCGCTGCAGGTGCCTAACAGGGGCGTGAGTGCAGGGGTGTCCGGGCTCCCAGCAGCGCCTGCAGCACTCGGGGTTCCTCCGCACGAGGATGCCGAGAACCTCGGCCAGAGGGGAAGAAGCTGCCAGAGGGGAAGAAGCTACGGGATGAAGCAAGGCCTCGCGGGGGGGCGGCGAACGGCTGGCGCGCAGCCCTGTCAGCTCCGCCAGCGGAGAGCGCGGGGGGCGCTGGGAGCCGCGGCCACGCATGCGCCGCTCGCGACCGGGGGGTCCGTGCGAGGTTTCCTCGCGGGAAAGGGGGAGCATGCGTGGAGGAGTCTCGCGAGAGCGCGCAGCATCGCGACTTGCCGCCGAGGGACTTTAGGAATGAGGGTGCGAGGGACACTCTGAGGTCCGACCTTGTTCTTCCAGAGTCTGTGAAGCAGGGCAGGAAACGGCAGTGAACGTCTTGCCTCAGGCCGGGCAGACGCCGCTGGCAGCTGGAATAATTTCTTTAGTGGAAAGGGTGCGATTATGTGTGTTGTGTGTGTGTGCTGAGGTTGGGGGTAGGAGGGTGGAGGGACTCCTTTGTGACAACTGGCAGAGGGATTACAGTCAGGATTTGGCTGTGCATGGATTGCTACTGTCTGGGATCCTTGATTGGAGCCAGCACTCCTGAGGAAGGATGTGTGCCTGCCTCTGTTCAAATGGTCAGGAGAAGTCTTCTTTTCATTTTGGGAAATCTCTTAATTGACCAAGGCTCTGGGAAAGTCTGTGTGGCTACGCATGATCAAAAGGGCTATTGGGGGACCTAATAGGACCGGGCTTAGATTCCCCTAGTGCTGCAAAACTTTATAGCTAGATGTCCCAGAACCTGCTGGCTCAAAAATATCTATCCTGTAAGTGTCTACTTTGTGACAATGTTTCAGGCTCTTGGCATTCATTAGTGGGTAACACAACTCTTATTCTCAGAGGTAGGTAGCTTATTAGAAAACAGGCCACTGACTTACTTCTCAAAGGTTTTGCCATGATTTGGCTAATTCTAGCATTGCAGAGGTTAAAAGGATAAAAGGCATAAACTGAAGGAAGGCTAGGGATAAACTAGTAGCACACAGCTTGTTTTCAAAGGAGTATTACTGAGTACTGTTTTCGTACCAGACATGGTGATAGGTGGTAAGCAAAACAGGAACCACTGTCATTAGTAAGCCACAAATAATGTTCAGTGTAACTGGGGTGAATCTTCCGAAGAAAAGAAACACACTGGCGATTTGGTCTAGGTAAGAGGTCTGGGTAAATTTCTTGGAAGAAGCAGTACTAAGGATGAGATCCAAAAGACAGACCAAGTAGGGATTGAGCAAAGCCTGGTCCTCACAAGAATCCCATAGAGAGGATGGGGTTGTCTCTCTTTTAGAGTTTAGGGCACTGAGACCTCAGTAGAGTGGTGCAAGTGCTAAAGATGACGGGGGAGTCATGGGAACCCAGGTTCGGAATCAGATGAAAATAGAGTCCTTTATGTTCATGGCTCTCTTGTTAGTATTGAGCCAGGTGCATATCTCAGCAGCTCAAAGTCACAAACTTGAAGGCTTGCTGGACTAAGGGAGATTTTAATTTGAACTGTGTAAAGTAGAGTGTAAGACAAGAGGGAGCTGGGTGTGATGGCACATGCTTGTCATCCCAGAACTTCGGAGGTGGTAGAGGCAGCAGGATCAAGAGTTCAGGCTGTTCTTCATTACAAAGCAATTTTTGAGGCCAACCCAGGCACATGAGGCCCTGTCTTAAAAAGGTTGCTAGTTAGTATTTGTTTACTTGAGCACACATGTTTGTGTCTCGAGAGCAGAAGAACATACTTGTCAGCAGAGAAGTGGATCCACATACAGGTCAATAAATGCAAGCTGGAGACACTGGAGAGTGGTTATTTTCTTAAGTCTCATTATGGGTGGTACGGATTGAATGGGAGGTTCTATTTTTTCCTTGCATATGCAGGCATTAGATCTAGTCTCTTGCTGCTAGACTAGAAAAACGGATCAAGACTTACCAGATCAGGCTTATTAAAGGAGGCTGGCTAGCAGTGGGAGAATCACACTTTCAGATAACTGGGAAACACATCCATTCTCCACACTAGGATGTTAGCTTAATGAAATAGGAAGTAGGATGTAAAATATTGTTTTGAGATAGTCTGGCTGTGTAGCCCAGCTGGCCTTGACTTGAGATCTTTCTGCTTCTCCTTCTGGAGTGCTGGGGCTACAGGTATGCATAACCATGCCTTTCGCTTGGAAGCGTTCCTCCCTTCTGCCTCCAGCTTCATACAGGAGCTTGTCAAGGGAGGTATGTGGAAAATGTCCATTACTTCCTGGTCTAGAAATTGCTCTCCTAAGATCTTACTTCAGAAGAAAATGATCATTCTTAGACATCTGTACTTCTCTGTCACCTAAGCACAGTAAGACAAAGTTTCAAGTCTGCGGTGAGAAGTTGCAACCTGTCTTCTTTAAAGTTCTACCTGGAGCTGAAGACATTTGGACTCATTTTTATTATCTCTTAGGTGTGGGGATTGTTAGATGTTGCAGTCTTTCAGAAGTACATAATTGTATCTTAGTGGGAAATTTCAAACATATACAAAAGAATTAGCTCATGTTCCTGCTTTCCAGCTTTAACTGTTAGCAACTCATGGCTAATCTGTCTACTCTATACCTCTACCCAGTCTCTTGATCTAGAAACATTTTGAAGCAAATCTTGAGTGTTTTATGTATTCTGTGCAATCATCAGAATGTATTTCAGAAAGTCAGGGGCCCCAATTTGGAACAACTTCAGTAACATAATATGCCCACTCCAGGTGTATCAACAGTTTTTTTTTTTTTTGAAAGGAGACTTGTAAGGGGCAACAAATCCTCCCATATTTGGTAATGAAGTGGATCCATATGTAGGTCAATACATGTAAGTTGAAGACATTGGAGAGTGGCATTATTATTATTATTACTATTAAAGATTTCAATCCCTGAGTAGATCAGCAACCGCTTTTGCTGCGTTGGTAGACCTTCTCCCACAGCTGTTTACACGCAGGCTTTCCTTTGCTTCTCCTCTGTCCATGGTGCTGACCCAGCCCCTCTTTGGCTCCAGTCTGAAGAACTGTTAACTTAGTTTGGTTATATGATTTAATGTAGGGTTACTGTAAAAGTGATCATTAAAAATGCATTAAACAGCTGCATGAAGTGCTGTATGTATCTGTGCCAAGTAAAATTAGCCACACATTCCAAGCTGGAACATGTCCCAGTAATACTGGTTAGCTTTAATTTTGTTGTTGTTTTGCTCTCATAGGAGAAATAGCCAAACTCAGACAAATACCACATGTGTATCTGTGTGTCTGTTTCAGACATGTATTTTCCAGTATTGTTTTTTTTAAACAAAGGTAATTAACTGTTCATTTCACAAATTAAAAATTGTCTTTTCACAGGCTAATAACAGTAATTGTCACTATAAATACAGTTCTTGACTATGGAGCAATACAGTAGTAAGGAATGTTTGGCCATTTTCCCCTTCCACACAGATAGAGACAGGACAGAGACAGACAGGGGGTTGAAGTTAGGACATTTGCATGCCAGCCAGCTTTTCTACCACTGAGTTATAGTCTCAGCTCTCTGCTATTTCTTGAAATGCTCATGGAATTCTCAAAAAAAATTTTTTTTGATGTGGACTGGAGCAATGGCTTTGTGGTTAAGAGCACTAGCTTCTCTTCCAGAAGACCCAAGTTCAATTCCCAGCACCTACATAATGCCTTATAACAATCTTTAATTCCAGTTCATGTTCACCAGACATGCTTGTGGCACACAGACATACATGTAGACAAAGCACTCATGCATATAAAATAAATATAAATGTAACAAAATTTAATGGTGAGGCACTATCAGGGCAGATAGATAATATGACTTACGGCTTTTATTCAAAGTATTAACAGAATTAATACTAAAATTGACAAAGTTAGAATTACCTTTATTAGAATGAATGCAGATGAAGTCTGTATAAAGGCCAGTGATACCACAGATATCACTGATATCATAGATACCATAGTCTGTACAGGTATGTCAGGTGTATTCCCTCTTCCCCACCCCCACTGTGTGTATATGTGCTTCCATCCTCGAATGTCATTCCTTAGGACATGTTCATTTTGGTTTAGAGGACCAGGCATTCACTGATGAGGCTAGCCTGGCTTGACACAGCCTAGCCTCTAGGCATCTTTCTGTTTCTGCTTTCCTAGTGCTGTGATTATAAGCATGTGCCACCATGCTCAGTTTTTTCTATAGTTAAAAGTTATTTTATTGTTTGAGAATTTCACGGATGTATATAATGTGTTTTGATCAATTCTGCCCCACTTTCTCTCTCTCTTCCAGTTCCTTCCCACCTTCCTCTTCTTTCCCAATTTCATGTGCTCTCTTTTAATTTTTAGATTTATTTATTTTTTATTTTATTTATATGAGTGTTTTGTAGGAATGTATGTATGTGTACCATATGTGTGCCTGGTACCCGAGGATGTCAGAAGAGGTCAGATTCTCTGTAATTGGAATTATGGACAGTTGTGAGCAGACATGTGGGTGCTGGGAACTAAACCTGAGTCCTCCGAAAGAGAGACAAGTGT